CCCCCCCCCCCCCCCCCCATTACCTTTTACTGCCTGGAAGCATGGTTTCTTTGGTTTGGCCCCGGGGTAGATCGTTTTCGACCAAAAAATCAAGATCCCCCCGGGTATTTCAATTTCCTCCCAGAAACCAGTTTTCCCACGAGTTCCCCTCGGGGGGGATGCATTTCTTTTCTGGGTCGATTTTGTTGCATCGCGGAGCACAAAAAGCATGATGTGGGACGGAAAAATCATTTGCAGATCTACACTTCCCGGTCGCCCCGGTGGTCTAGTGGGTAGCCTCGCAGCCTGCTAAGGGCCAGGTCATGGGTTCGAGTCCCGACAGAGAGAGTTTTTTTCTCACTAAATAAATCCTGGTCTAGGATGAAAGCGACGCGCTGCAAAGCTCGTTTGTTAGTAAACCATAATCGACTTCGTAAGTCGCGAGGGAAGGGATTGCTGTACCCTTCTCGCGATAAAAATACCTCAGGCATGAACCGCAGGAGGGGGTCCAACCCCCCCCTCCTATGTGACCCCGGTTGGGTCGTCTAGCTAGTAGAAGTGGAGGATAGGGGCCAGAGGGGCAGACGACAGAGTCCAATGATGGGAGAAAAACAAACAAAACAAACAACAAACAACTTCGAGCGAGATTTAGGTGTACCATTTGTCACTGGAAGGCGGGCCCTTTCACTTCTTGGAATCACTTGGGGGACGGGACAAACTCCCTCAGCTGCGGTCCTCCTTGCTGTACTTCTCCTAAGCCTTCGTTGCGCTTACGTAACTCCCCCCTCTGCTTGTTGAACGCTTGCTGGAAGACCTTATCCATCTCAGTTTCGCCACTCTGTGTGTTTGGTATGTGGACCATCATTATTTTGCATAACCCCGCGGGGGGGGGCTTCCCCCCGGGGTAGCGTTGGAAAAAAAACAACTCACCCCCCTCCGGTACGTCAACTTCCCCCCGGGGGGTTTGGTTTCATTAAAAAAAACGATCCCCTCCCTGGGGGGAAAACTCCGACGTTTACGGTATGCATATGCAGTTGTTGTTGTCTTTACATTAAAAACCGCTCCGATCTCCCTCTACCCAGTACCTTTGTATGTCCGTACTGATCCAACACTTGACGCGTTCGATTCCCGTGGTCACAGGCTAACTTACCCTAAAGAGGTACACTCAAATACACTGGCCCCGAGGGGTCCGCAAGTCAATCGAAATCAACGACAGATATTCTGGAGTTCTCCGCTTCCTCTGCGCGCTATGCGAGGTAACAACTGAGACTAGGAGTCAGCATCACGGGCCAGAGAGAAAGTGGTACACCCCCTTGGTTCAATCTTGGTACTTCACAACGCAAGCAGAGACAAGACCATCTGACACAGAAAAAGAGAGAAAAGGAGACACATGTAGTACATAGGTCCGTTCCAGCGTATTCTTCCGTTGAATACAAAACAACACAACCCAATTGTACGTATTTACGCATGTTCAGCTGCAACACAGCGAATCCGTCTCCACAACAGAAAAAGATATGCATGGATTCCCGGTGAAGCATTCATGTACAACCGTTGCTGTGGCCTGCCTGTGGCCACTGAGAGCATCATGGTCAGTTGGGCCAAAATGGTGAAGGTAGTGCGTGCTGAGCAGAGCTCGGAACGGTTTAGGAAATGTCACAGTAAAATGTACCGATGAAGACACGCGCACCCGATTGCCCCATACGTGTCCAATCAATTGGGGTACGCTACACAGCCAAGAGCACACCAAAAAAAATGAGAAAATCCAACATAAATCAGACTTTTCGCACCGCCGTTCCCGTCAACAGAGCCGTTCAACCAACCTCTCAAAACCAAGGTGGGCGTTGAGGTGTATCACACAAGGGCCAACCATACTGCTGGATCGACTACTGTACAAGCGTGTACGTTTGGCAGATGTGCAGGTGCATAGAACCCTCACAGCTAACCGGCTGCACTTGACGGTTGCTGCAGGCTCGCTTCATCTTTCAAGGATAGATACAAATCACAAGACGAACACGCCAAAATAGTTCCAAGATTGTGTGTCGTTTTCACCCTCCTCAATCAAGCACACAGGTGTATGTTCGCCCGACTGCTGTTGTACAAAGGTCTCCCACTTGAAGCACTGGCAGGGCAATGATAGCAGTACCAAGAGGCAGACGCCCTCGAGAGACCGGCTCGTCACCCACGAAGGCCACGCGGAGATATGCTACAAAGTGTTTGGCGGAGAAATTAGAGCACGCGCGAATAAAAACCCGAACACAAATGGAGGAGGGGAAGACGGAAGCGGGGGGGGGGGGATGAGACACCCCTTGACCGAGTACGGAGGGCAGTATGGGCGATGCTGCATGCCGATGATGCCGGCGTCATATCAAGGTCTGCAGAGGGACTGGCGAGAATGATGACCATCATCGTTGAGGTGTTCGGGGAGTTCGGGCTGACGGTGTCGGAGAAGAAGACGGAGACGCTCCTGATGCGCGCGAAGGACAAGCCGACTACAACATTACAGCCCGCCCCGCCTCCACCGCTGACCATCGAAGCCGCGGTACAGAAATACGCCCAGACGACCGAGTTCCGGTACCTCGGTGGCCTCGCCAACGAACATGGCGACCTCGCCCGGGAGATCAACTACAGGAGCAGAGGAGCGTGGGCGTGCCTCAGGCGATGTGGCCGGGAGCTCGTCGACAGACCGAAAGCGCCGTTCCGACTCAAGATCCGCCTGCTCCAGGCGGAGGCGATGGAGGCCCTGCTGTACGGCTGCATGACGTGGTCAACACTCAGCGGCCACTATCAGACGCTGGGGTCGATAGACCACCGACTGCTCTTCGAGTTTTCGGGTACAAGAGCAAGAAAGACACCAACCGGCAGCTCCCTTACGCCCAGACGCTGAAGAGGGTAGAATGCCAGAGCGTTGAAGCCACGATCCGACAACGAAGCCTACTGATCGCGGGAGCATTGGCAAGGCAGCCGGACGGGCGACTCCCGAAACGACTGATGCTCGGCGAACTGGCAGGGGGGGGAGAAGCGACGTAGGGGGGGACAGGAACAGAACTGGCCGATGTGTGTGCTCGACGACCTGAAGGCATTCGGGGCCGACCGCGGATCTACGAAAACCGATCCAACCCTAGTTTTAGTCAGGGTAAGACGACTTGGGGTAGTTTAATCGCAGTATATGTTGAGGCGTGATGTAATGGGCTTGAAAATGATGGCTCTGGGAGCAGGGTTGGAGTTAGTTCTGGTTTGAGATACCGTCAAATAAGGTCATGAAAAGTGTCTGAGGTGGAGACTAGAATTGAGAAGGTGTGGGATTATGGTTGGAATGATGAGCTTATGAGGGAATTGCAGTTAGTTGAGAGAAAGTGAGAGAGAGTTGGAGAGAAAGTGAAGCGGCGCACTTGGATAGATACAGGTGAAGAGGCGCAATTAGCTCGCGTCAGCTGATGTCGCGTGCCCCCCTTTTCCAGTGTTCCAAGTCCCCTGCTGTTCCCGGCCCACGAACGCCTAAGAAACACACTTTGATCGCAAGCAACTTCGAGACGCGCAAACCCACGACCCCACTGGCACATCTACACACGTATCTACGGGCAATAGGCCACCGCCGGCCGATTCCGATAGGCCACTGATTCCACGTCACTGGCACCGAAGGAGGGGCGACGTTAGCGCACCGCTTGCGGTGTGTTCTTCCCATGGCACAGAGAGGTGAGGGGCGGGAAGTGAACAGCGATGAAGGGAAGGTTGGGCACACGGACCACAGGGGTGGTGGTGGTTCTAAGGGTGGTGGGATGGATGAGTTGTCGACCGGAGGGGATGAGTAGGCGGCTAAAGCGCTGTCAGTGAAAGGGGAAGGGTGAAAGGGGTGAACGGTATCGCGAGAACGGAAAGAAGTCTCGCCGGGTGGAGGTGAAGGGCGAAAGGGGTGAAAAGTATTGCGAGATTTAACGGAAATCTCGCGGGGTGATGGTGCAGGGTGAAGGAGGTCCCGGGTAGTGTGATGACGAAAATAAATATCGCGGGCGGAAGAGAAGAAAGCAGAGCCAAGGACGGGGATCAAAACAGACTCGGGGGGGCTGGGGTAAAGAGGAAACGATTATCACGCGAAAACATCGACGACGCGGAGGGTGGGATTGTAGAGGAGGAAGCGGGCCGATCGGTGGTGCACAACACCGAGGGCGATGGCCTGGCGACGGGGAGCGTCTCATCCAACCACGGTAAGCGACGTTTTCCAGTATCTAAGGAGTATTCCAAGCAGGGTGGAAGTAATTATTCCAAAGTGCAAGTGGTTTCGAGTGCTGATAAATTGAACTGCACGGATGTAGGCCGTGGCAGCAAGAATGTATTGAGGACTAGTACCCCGCAAGAAATTCTTGGCCGTAGTGTGTCGCAAGATGCACGTGCACAGCTTCAGGAAACATTCACTAGTAAGACACACAGGGATTTCCCAGAATAAGGGGTGCCGAACACGCCCCCTTCGTCAGATCAAACGAAGTTTAGCATTGGCAAAATGGGAAATGTTGATGAGAATGCAAAACCAGCGGGGAATGCGGTTAACACTCAAAGGAAGGAAATACGCAAGGCAAATTATCCGAGAGCAGTGAGGTGTCCGCTGGATCCTCAAGCGGAGCACACTGTTGGTCGAAATGGTGCCAAAAAGGGGTCGCTTAATAGGGACACTAGAAAGGNGGGGTGCCGAACACGCCCCCTTCGTCAGATCAAACGAAGTTTAGCATTGGCAAAATGGGAAATGTTGATGAGAATGCAAAACCAGCGGGGAATGCGGTTAACACTCAAAGGAAGGAAATACGCAAGGCAAATTATCCGAGAGCAGTGAGGTGTCCGCTGGATCCTCAAGCGGAGCACACTGTTGGTCGAAATGGTGCCAAAAAGGGGTCGCTTAATAGGGACACTAGAAAGGAAAAAAGCGTTACCGTTGATCGTGCTGGGGGCAAGCAGAACCATGAAACTGTTGCTTTACAAGTGATAGGAGAAGAGGGCGTGATAGGGGATGCATCCGCCTCTGAAAATTCTCTCAAGCGTGAGGTTGAGAAAACAGCGCGGGGGGGAAGAAATTTTGGTGAAGCACAGGAAGGAACAGATCGCATTTTTGCCGTACAAGTATCTGTTACTTCTGAGTCAGGACAAAGGAGTGATGCGGTGTACCCTCCGCCTCCTTGTACGTTGGCTGCAGGTGAAGCGGACTACCTGTCACCATTTACTCGGTCGGTCGGCGGGGATTTGACGATGGATCGACATCGGCATGCGACTAAAGTGCAAGTGTTCGCGGGGTCAAGAGCGACCAAGATGATGTCGTGGGAGGCTCTGTTGGATAGGGGAAGTCCGGCATCGTTTGTACAAGAAAGGTGGCGTTCAGGCGGTTGTGGCAGAGGGTGCCTCCGCACATTCGAGACGTCCATCTCGACTTCAATGCGAAACTGTGGGAGCCGGAGGACATTGACAATCTAGGGACGGGGCAGAACATGTGCGCGACCTAGAGAGGTTTTTCGAGCGCATGGCCAAGTTCAACCTGAAACTGGCACCCAAGAAGACGAACCTGGAGGTGAAGGTGGTGACGTTCTTGGGACGTCAAGTCACGGTGGAAGGGATCGGGCCGGACCCGGAAAAGGTGCGGGCGGGGTGCTATCTTCGCGATTGGGTCCGGTGTATACTGAGCGAGAGGCGCTCGCTGGGTCCAACCACCGCGATGATTTTGCGGTGGCGGTGCCTCTGGTGGTGGAGGTAGTAGCAGTAACGCTCGTGGGGGTGGGGCTGTTGCTAGTGGTGGGGGTGGCAGTAATGCTCGTAGTAGCAGGACTGTTGCGCGTGGAAGGGGTCGAGGGGGCGCGGCTCGAGGAAGAGGGGTTGCTGGTGGTGGTGGGGGGGGGTTCCGGGGGCAGAGGTCCGGCAGCACCCCCATTGCCTCAAATTCCGTTGCGAGAGAATGATGAAGAAAAGCGGCAATTGAATTTGGGGAGAATTCATGTGATACGACGGCTAGAGATTGGGCGGACATCCAGGATGAAGACGATACGGCGCGATTAGCAATTGCGGCCATTGAAGGGCATGCTGATCCAAAGAGGATGGACAAGGGTGATATTCCGAAAAATGTACAAGTAGATTTGGAAGAGTTGAAGCGGTTGGTGGCACAGGGTACTTTGTTGGTGTTGCCGAATTCGAAGCATTTGTTGGTGAGAAAAGAATCGAAAGCCCCTGCGGAAAATCCAAATCGAGGGCAATTTGAGAGGTTGGTAGGTGAAAAGCCCGTTCGGACGAATTTGCCTAGGATGTTGAGACCGTGGGTCATGGATTGCGCTCACAAAGAAGCAGTGCATATGGGAGAGAAAGTGAATTTAGGTATTTTACAGGGCGGTGCATTGGTGGATGGGAATGGCGGAAAGCGTACGTTGGTGGATCCGTAGGTGTTATTCTTGTCAGTTTCGGCAAGCGCCGCGGCATACGAAGTGTTGGCCGTTAGTGTCTTTGCCTCTTCCGAGCAGACCGGGACCGATGGTGTCGTTTGATTATTTGGGTCCGTTGCCGAAAACGACGAAAGACATCGAGTATGTGTTCCTGGTGGTAGATTTATTCAGTTTACATGCCGAGGGGTGCCCACTAACGAAGGCGCAGAAGAATGCGAAGGGTTTTGTGTCTAAAATGGTGAACAAATATATTGCGAGGTGGGGTTGTCCCCGCACACCATGTTGTCAGATAGGGGAGCAGAGTTTGCGAATGAGGTAGCGAAAGGGGTGTATAAAATGCTGGGAACTGTGAAGAAGTTTACTAGCTCATATCTTCCGCAGACGAATGGGATGGTGGAACGTTTAAATCATACGCTGTGTCAAATGTTGTCGCACTTGATTGCGGACGATCAGGCGAACTGGGATGAGATGTTGCCACACGCGGTAGCGGCACACAACAATAACGTGAGCCGAGAGACAGGGTTAGCACCAAACGTAGTACACATCGGAAGATACCCGAGGCTGCCGATGAAGATCTTAGAGGGAAGGGGCATTTCGGGAAATCAGGGCCTAAAAGAAGACCAATTGGATTACTTGAATTTGATGAGGGATAAGCAGAGGAAGGCGTACGAGCTGGTAAGAGAGCAGGATAAGATAACCAAGGCTAAGCATGAGAAGAGCAATCAGGTGTTGAACTCGATAATAGGAAAGAGGCCGAAGTATAAGGAGGGGGACTGGGTCTTGGTGTATGATGAGACGAGTACGATTTCTGGTGGGGAGGAACACGTGCTTGAATCGCGAATGAATAGTAGGGGGAAAGAAAAATCGTTCGCGTTGATCCCGAAGTTGGCACACAATTGGGCCGGCCCGTATAAGGTGTTGATCGTGGGTCCAGGGGATGGTCTTGACGGGGAAAAGGTGGGCCCGAATATTTTGTGTTTGGACATGAATAAGGATGAGCCAGGGAAGAACATCAACGAGAGGGTGTCGGTGTATCGGTGTAAGAGGTGTTCTCCTCAGCACGCGAAAGAGGATAGACCTAGGGTTTTACGGTGGGACTTTACTAAGTATGTGTTGAAAGTTTTCAGAGTTGGCACCTCCGTCCCATCTTACGGCAGAGGACGTGGAGGAAGAAGTGGATTGTAAGGAATTGGTCCCGTGTAAGGTATCAAGGCACAGGATTTGTCGAGGTATCAGTGGCAAGGGGGCGGTTCAGTACTACACGCCTTGGACGCGGTTGGCTAAGTGTACGTGGGAGCATGGGGTAGAGTTGGAGCAAAACGGGGAAGTGGTACTTAAGTATTGGAATGATCAGCCGGAACAATCGGCCGGAGGGAACAGGAGGATCGTATTCAGGGTGCAAAAAGGACGATTGCTAGCAGGAAGGGAGAAAGACATGTGCAGAAAGATTACAAACTTTGTTGTGACATGCGGGGTAGGCCGAGTGTTCGAAGTAAGGCGATGATTGGTGCATATTTATATTTTAAGACTGTAAGGGCGGGTTGGCAGTTTGCGAAGGTGGTGCAGGTGACTCCGGATCCGAGGTTGGAAGTAGGCATCAAACATACTATCAAGCTGGTGGACATCGGCAAGAACATCAATGTGGCGCTTCTCAAGAAGAACCTGACGACGGACAACCTGGTACAATATCCAGGAACGTGGTGCTGGCATGCACACCGAAAGGCGAAACGTGTAAAGAAGTACATGTTCGAGTTGGAAGATGATCACCGTATATGACACAAGATAACACACTCCCTTGACCGATTTTCGAAGCTCGGTTTCTCAATTGCAGGAACAGTCACAGCGCCGAAAACGGCGGCGTTGAAACCGTTTCGTCGAGAGCTTTTCGAAAATGTATCATTTCGTTTATGCATCCTCTTCGTCGTAGAGTAATCGAGCATTGAAAATGAGTCCAGGGGGTGTCTTATCTTGTGTCATATAGGTAGGTGTTTGAATTTGAAGTGCGTAGGACTGCGGAAAAGTGTGCCAAGTGGTGCAGTCGAATACGGGTCAGAATTACTGTTGTGTTAGAACAACTGTTGTTTTGGCTGAAGAATGTACCTTGTGATGGAGTCATATTGCAGTGGTATCACGGTCGTGACGGAATTGGAGTGTGTGTATTGCATGAGTTGATTTCTGGTGATAAATATCCGGACTTGTTTCAAGAGAATGACATTGGTTGTAGGTTGGGTATTGCACGTTGTGGTAAAGTGTTAATTCAAACGAGACTGATCGCACATAAGTATGCGTTGAACCTGGGGGGGGCGAATGTTGTGCAATAAGTCAACCCTAGTTTTAGTCAGGGTATTTTGAGGCGTGATGTAATGGACTTGAAAATGATGGCTCTGGGAGCAGGGTTGGAGTTAGTTCTGGTTTGAGATATCGTCAAAAAAGGTCATGAAAAGTGTCTGAGGTGGAGACTAGAATTGAGAAGGTGTGGGATTATGGTTGGAATGATGAGCTTATGAAGGAATTGCAGTTAGTTGAGAGAAAGTGAGAGAGAGTTGGAGAGAAAGTGAAGCGGCGCACTTGGATAGATACAGGTGAAGAGGTGCAACTAGCTCGCGTCAGCTGATGTCGCGTGCCCCCCTTTTTCAGTGTTGAAGACCCCTGCTGTTCCCGGCCCACGAACGCCTAAGAAACACACTTTGATCGCAAGCAACTTCGAGACGCGCAAACCCACGACCCCACTGGCATATATGCACACATACCTACGCGCCACAGGCCACCGCCGGCCGATTCCACGTCATGATGTCTCGGAATCCCGGTACCGAAAGACACGGCACCGAAGTTAAAGTGGACGGAAGCCGCGAAGGTGGAGGGGGGAGTACCCTGGCATGCGGCGGGGCTGCAGGGAGCTGAGAGGTTCATGACCTCCTGGCACGAGAAGGAAGAAGAGGCCAGCCGACAACGGGCGCTCAAACGAAACCACAAGCCAACAACCAATGGGGCGGAAGGCGGGCAGGAGACGGACGAGACGGCAAGGGAAGAAAGCAAACGAGAATAGACGGACCGAGTGGCGCGATACGTGCCGGATTGAATTTCTATTGGCCGATTCTCCCCGCCCAACGCTGCACCATTGCACCAAACCCCCACTAGTGATGACGTATCATTACAATGCCCCGGTGGTCTATAATAGTAGGTAACGTCGCAGCCTGCTAGGGGCCAGGTCATGGGTTCGAGTCCCGGCAGAGTGAGTTTTTTTCTCACTAAATAAATCCTGGTCTAGGATGAAAGCGACGCGTTGCAAAGCTCGTTGTCAGTAGACCATAATCGACTCCATAAGTCGCGAGGGAAGGGATTGCTGTACCCTTCTCGCGATAAAAATACCTCAGGCAGGAACCGCAGGAGGGGGTCCAACCCCCCCCTCCTATGTGACCCCGGTTGGGTCGTCTAGCTAGTAGAAGTGGAGGATAGGGGCCATGGGGCAGAATCCGATGATGGGAGAAAAAAATATATAATGTGTCGCTGGTTGGTGGCCATGTTTGCGTGTTTGCTTGTTCGTTGGTGGTCTCTCCACCGTGTGCCTTTTCCCGTCTCTTGTTTCTTGTTATTTTCGGCCTGGTCCATTTTTGTCCTCGCTGTTTTTCATTTTGTTCTCTCTTTTGTTAGATATACTTGTAGCCAAGTAGAGATGGTTGAATATGGGACATGGATCTACGGAGATATATATATATATATATATTTTTTGTCTTCACTTCGAATCAGCGCTCACAGCACTAGTGCCGTTTTACTCCAACCCGTGGTCACACAGGAGAGCCCCTCTCTACTCTCCCCTCCTGCGGTACTTTGCCTTCGATTTTTAGGCGAGAAGAGTTCAGCACTCTCTTCCCTCTGTGTACACACGAACTAGCGCTATCCACTTGGCCAGTAGCGGAAGCGAGAGACAAACTCACTTTGCAAGAAAAGCTCGCTTACGCCGGGATTCGAACCCCTGCCCTGACCTCTAGAAAGGTTTCGAGGTTCTCAACTAGACCACCGGGGTAGGCCTGTCCTCCATCGGCCGTTTTATTTTCGATTTAGATGCACAAACTTTATTTCTATACTAATTTCAAGTAATTCCACCTTCTTATTCTCCGTCATACAAGCAAAACGGCCGATGGAGGACAGGCCTACACCGGGGCGACCGGTCATT